GGTCACACCTTCAGGTGTGGACATGCGTCTTCCTGGAACAGAAACACCCAAACTCTTCTGCCAGAAAATCTCAGCATGGCTTTTTCACACTCGTCTCCTCGTGAACGGAGGAAAACTTTCAGTGAAGTTTAACTGTTCTGTGAGACGAAGAGGAAAAATTTCCCCGCTGTCTTCCTTCGTTTTTGGTGAATAAATCATGGAGATCCAAAAACAAAACAAATGATCTCACATCTAACTTTATTTAATCCCTTTAGTCTGTTAGGGAGGCTAATTTTAGAAAATGTGAAAAAAACTGTGAAACTGTTGAAGCCGTGTCTAAATGTTGCTGTTAGTCTACCGTTTTTTACCTCTGGGTTGGTCATGATTGAGTCACGAAGGACAAGAGGAATAAAGGAAGGAAATGAGGAGAGAGGAGACGAGGACTACAGCAAGAAGCGAGGGAATAAGGAAGGAAAATTGGCAGGAGGAAGGAAAGACGGAAGGAATACAGGAAGAACTAAACTACCTGTATGGAGTGAACTTTGTTCCATAATTGTTACAGGGAAAAATATGTTTGGTAAATGGAAACAAAAAAAATGCAATCTAGAAATTAAACGTCTAAAAAATTTTCAGATAAAAACATTGTAAGGACTCTAGTGTTTCACTCAAAAAATAATAATTTTTCAAAATTTCCATTTTTCAGTTTTACGAATGTTTTTGTTTTCTAATGACCTCGCAAGCAAGATGAATTTTCTCAAGATTTCTGGATTCAGACGCTCCCGTAAAGATATCTTGCCAGAAGCCAACCGAAGCGTTCCGCCTCGATCCAGAAATGTTTCGGACCAATAAGATGCCGCGACATGAATGATGTCATCAAGAGGCGGAATGCTGAAGCAAAACAAACATGGCTGCTTCGGTTTCAGCTGGAATACCTTCTGATTCTTTTTGAAAAACAAAAAAAAGAACACAAGTTTTGCCTTTTTGGACGGCAAAGACGTTTGTGCGTTCAAAAGAACTTTGGGAGGCAGGAAGCCAATCAGCTGGAAGAATATTAACGAGTGTCCCTCCATTTTTCTACAGGAGGATTCCCAGATGGATGCCGTGTACGAATTGAATTGAACTAATCGTATCAGGCTGGCTTATGCTAGGTTAGCTTTCAAATTGCGTTTTATAGCGCAGATTTTCTTCAGTTCTGGGGGCGGGATTTCCTCTGGAGTGAAGACCTATTTCTATTGGTCTGCTGGATGTTATTTATATTTGTTAGTGTTTCTATTAGGCATGAACTGGCAATAATGTGATCTGGGAAACAATTTAAAAACACTAGAATTCGAAAAATAAAACAATTTGAAAAACAAAGTTCACAATGTAATAAAAAAAAAGAAAAAGGAATAGAATAATTAATAATTAAATATGGTTAAAACCTTTATCTTAATTAATGAGTTTCATTTCTGGATAATTTTTTATTTTACAAAATATGTTCCTTGCCACAATAATGGAATAGAGTTCACTCCGTAGACAAGGAAAGGAAAAAAGGAGTAAAGAAAGGAAGGACAAAAGTAAGGATTGTATACATATAAAGGGTGCAGTTGGAGGAAGCAAGGAGACAAGGGACTAAAAAGGGGGGGGCTAAAGGAAGGATGCAAGGAATAAAGGAAGAAAATAGCAAACAGCAAAAACTACAAATGTCTTAAAGGGGAAATGAGCTTAAAACGAGGTAATGAATTAGTACCAGTGCTCATTTTCAATCATATCTCTGCCCTCAGAGGTTTAACAACCTTCTAGCTGGTTGGTAGCAAATGATCTCTGAACTCCTCTTTAGGATATTCAGTGTTTGTTTTGTTTTTCTTGGTGGGGATTAAAACTAATAGATGCTTTTGATCACTAAAATAAGGCTGCCGCCTCCTCAATGATCTGACATGACGTTGCCTTTCCTGAAAACCTCGTACTGCGCATCATTTGGCCTCCTAGACAAAAAAAACAAACAACCTTTCCAAACAAAGCAGGAACTCCCCGCAGCCGCTTTGCATGCACCTTTCATTGTTTAACCAAAGCAGCACTTCCTGGTGGAGCAGGTCGGACTGTCAACATCACGGCTCGGGCCGATCTGATAGCTGCACATTTTCTCAGCCCCACCCAGGAAGCAGCTTCAGGTATTTCACCAGACGCTGCAGCACTTCCTTAAATGCAACCAACCAGGTGCTGGAATCAGACTCTCTTCTCATTTAACAAACTGCTTTCCTTTAATTTCCCCTGTTTGCTCGACTAGTTAAACCTTACTGATTCACTTTTCCTTTAACTTGCCTTTTATGGCGTCATACCTTCGATAAACGGCCCCGTTGTTGAGAACTAAATCTCAGCCACTAAAGGACAAAGTTTTAGCAGGTTCATTTTTTCTGAATCTTTATAATAATAACATAGCATCTTTCTGAGAGCGAACAAAAGATGCTGCCAGAACGACTTTAAAACCAAACCGGTACTTTTTACCACCGGCTTAGAAAGTTCAGGTCAGGTTTAAAGGACAGGAAATGATTTAATGTCTTTTAAGGATGTTTATCCTTTAAAATAAAACTCTGACGCTGAGTTTGAATCTAAAACTGAAATCTCTCTGAGGCGCTAAGCTACAAAAATATCTGTGCTTATTGAAAAAAATCACGTTTAGTAGGAATTAGCGCCATAGCTGCTTAGCCACAACATAAAACTACTATTAAAAAGTAGAATCAAGCAGCATAGATGTTACAAAATACTATAAAAACGACTTATTTTAGCTCACTAAATCAATATCAAGATGTTTTCATAAAAAAGCAGCAGGAGGTTCAAAGTAAGCTAGCTAAAACTAGCTTAAATTTAGAAAATAATTAATTCTAATCATTAATGAAAATGAACAAGTATGGAGTTAATTTTGTTCCAAATTTGTTGCAAGCAAAGAAAATGTTTTGTAAATGGAAATTAAAAAAAAAAAATACAGACATGAAATTTAAAAAAATGACATCTGAAAAAAAAAAACAGGAAGGTTTTTCAATTTTTTTTTTATTTTCCATATTTTGCTTTTTTTTTTTTTGCAAAGTCTATTTAAAAAAAATAATAAATTCCCAAATACAATTGTATTCTTTTAAAAACGTATTTTTCGGATTAAGTTTTCCGGATAGCGTTCTTTTCAGAAGGCGTTTAATGGATCATAAGTTTAAAACAGCTGCTTAACTTTAATGCAGACCAATAGAAATACGTTTTAGCTTCTCACTCCACAGGAAGACCCACCCCCTAAAAAGCAAACTGGAAAATAAGCCAATTCCTGAACCTCAACATGAATAAAAAAATTTAAATTAAATCTTTGTAATAAAATATTTTAAAAAATCAGAAGAAAAAAAATGAGAAACAATAGAATAAAATAAAGTCTTCAAATCACATTTTTTTTTCAATTAAGACATTTTTCCAAAATTTCTCCATTGTTTTTTTTTCTTCAAATTTTGATTAAGAGAAAAAAAATCTGTTCTTTGCAACAATAATGGAACAAAATTGTTGATAAAATAATTTCCGAACACATTTTTGTCTTCAACAGTAAATCGTTATACAATTTTTTATTTATTTATTCTATTTTATTGTCTTGAGTTTCTGTATTTTATCTTTTAAGTTTTGACCTTATTTCCTGCAACCATGACATCTCTACAGTTGTTTTAAATGTGCTTTATAAATAAAGTTTGAGTTTAGCTGAGTTGATGTCACAAATATTATGAATTTAAAGATTATAGAAGAGTAATTGGTAACGCTAAAGATGATAAACTTTATGTTTATAGCAAGAAAATGTAGAATATAAATATTCCAGTTCATAGAAAGTTAAAAATAGTCTCCATGTTTGCATCATGTGAAGCAGAAAGCGGGAGGACTGACCTTCCAGCTTCAGGTGCTGCACCGCGCCGTCAGGCAGCGAATGAAACGAGTTCCCAGGAAAGTAAGCAGACGGGCAAAACACGCTGGACTTCCTCTGCTTCAGTATGTGCTGCAGCAGCTCATACAGGACATCCCCTGCAGAAAACAAAGGTCAAAGGTTACCGCACGCCTCCAGGTGACATCTGACGCCAGCATGACTCGGGACATTAGCGCTAGTGTCGTCAAACACGGTGTCCGCTTCCCCTTCTTCTGCTCTGCGTCTTCCAGGATCCAGCCAAATGATGCGGCCCTGATTGCTCAAACTTCCTGCCACTTGAGCAATAATGGAGCGAAGGAGCCTGGAGGGGAATTCAGGACAACGGCCGACAGAAAAGTTCTTAGAGAGCCGACTGCGATCGCTCTATAACCTTCACTTTGTTATTAATGCCACATGTCTCAGCTTACGGAGACAAATGACGGCAGAATAAACATATTGCTAAAAATATCACTTTAATTTATCACAAGCAAACTCAAACTGTTACATCAGAAACTAAATATATAAAACAAAAAACTCCTTAAAAAATATGTGACCTGTTTTATTTCTTTAAAAAAGCATGATGTCAAATAAGCAGAAATACATGTAGCCAGCTCTACAGCAATGTTCAGAAACAGGTGGGGGAGGGACTCTATGCTCTGCATTCAGAGAAAATTCTTATAATTCTTTGAAACTTTAATAAAAGGTGCTCAAAAAACTTTTAGGGCTCTATTTGAATGTGCTATATTGTATTTAGACAGAATATATATAGTTTTTATTATTTTATGATAATTATGTTTCTATAATCCTATTTTATTCCTTTGTAACATGGATCTGACAGAAGCATCATTTCATCATGTTTCTATGACGACAATAAAAGCTAGATTTCCATTTCTACATGTTAAATAATGATGCTCTGATGATGAGGAGGAGAATGTTGGCAGTGGGCTTTAGGCTGCCC